CCCCCGGCGGGCTCCCGCCCGGGCTGGAGGCCATAGTCCAGGCGGGCGTCGGGGCCGGAGAGTCGGGACAGCGGGCTGGCCGCCTGGCGGGCGCTGGGCTCCTCTGCAAAGACAAGGGCGCTTTAAGGCTCCGCACGGGCCAGGCCGGGGTGCGGGGCTCGAGGGGGCGGGGACCCCACACACACACACACACATGCGTGTGCACACACACACACCTGCGCTGGTCCCGGGCTCGAACTTAGGACCTGAGCCACCTCAGGGGGCGGGAGAGGCCCCCACACACACACATGTACCCTGGGGTGCAGGGCTTGCGGGGGGGCACCCCCCACACACATGTACCCCGGGGTGCGGGGCTCATGGGGGGTGCCCCCCACACACACGCATGTGCGCACACACAGGCTGGAGCTCAGGACCTGGGCGCCTGTCCTGGAGCGTTGGCGCTCAAGGCCCATGCTCTGCCACCTGAGCCACGCGCCACTTCACTCCCAGCTTTCTGGGATTCCTCACAGGTAAGAGCCTCACGTGTGGGCTGTCCTGCCCACGCTGGCTTTGAACCCCGATCCTCTGACCTCGGCCTCCTGTGTAGCCAGGATGACAGGCGGGAGCCACCAGCGCCGGCCCTGCCCGTGTGGACGGAACCCGGGGCGTCCGTCGACCCAGCCGGCGGCTCCGACCTCACCCCCCCGTGGCTCAGCCACAGCCCCGAGGGCAGCTTCATGTGTCCTCTCTCCTTCAGAGACCCCCAGCTACTCCCCCAAAACTCCCTCCATGCCTGCCCTGCCGGCACCGCCACGCTGCCCCCTCCAAAGCCCATCTCTGCTCCAGCTCACCCCACAGCAGCTCACTCCCTGCTCCGGGGACCCGTCCTGCCAGGCCAGGGGCCAGGGGCGGCCCACGAGCAGCCTTTATCAATAAAGTTTTAATGAAATCTAGCCCTGCCTATTGGTCCACACAGGGCGGGGAGCTGTGGCCTGGCCCACAGGGTCCATGACCTGAAACATCCACTCCCGGCCCGACAGCCTCCGATGACCCCGTGTGCACTCCAGGCTCTGCCAGGGTCAGCTCCTTTCCTGGAAGCCGGGCGGACCCCCGGGCTATCCTCCACCTCCCTGTGCCCTTCCTGGGCCTCCCTAGAGGCTGCACGGAGCTGACCACTGACCTCGCCATGTCTAGATGTCCCCCCATTCCAGCAAGAGTCCCCAGGAGAGCTTCTCACAGCTCTTAATGGTAAGTATGGTTGCCGAGGCCTTCTCCAGGTTGAGTCTACCTAACCTCTCTCTCCTCAGACTGCAGCTGAGGGAACGCATCCCATCCCTGCCTGCCCCAGGACCTTTGTACTTGCTGTTCCCACCGCGTCATCCATTCCTCCCACCACCCCCCACCTCTCATGACTGAAAACCTCTCAGGCCACAAGCCCAGCTAAGGTGCCACCTGCTTCTAGAGACTTCCTGACCTCCCTGCCTAGCTCAGGGCCCTCCCGGGTGATTCCGCCCAGTGCTCGGTACTTCTTACTATTTTAATTAAGGGACCGTGGAATGATCAGCTTACAGCCGCCTCTCTCCTAGCCCACGAGTAAATGCCACACAGCACCCATCTAGGGCCAAACCAAGCAGGTGCTCAAACGCGGGGGGGGGGGGAGGGCATCATTCAAGGGCAGAAAAGCCAGCGTGGAGTGAACGCATCCTCCAAGAAGCCAGCAGCACCATGGCGTCTCGGGAGCCGCTCCCAGCCATCGCCATCCCACACCGCTGCCCAGGCCCAGGCTGCAAAGCGGAGGGGGGCGGGTGCCACCTGGCATCCCGTGTCCCGTGAAGCCCGGAAGCAGTGGGGGGGGGTGCGTGGCCTGTGACTGCTTTGCCCAGGGCGGGAAGTCACATAGGGTGAGGTGGCGGCTGGGCTGTGGGGAGCAGTGGGGGGGTGGGAGGAGGGCATGGGAGCGGTTGGCTACCATGGCCTGGGGCAGGCTCTCTCCAGAACCTTCTGGAACAGCAGCTTCCCTCAAGAAGAGGCACTGAGGAGCTGGGAGATGGGGTATGATGTGGAGAAAAGAGAAACACGGTTCTCTGTTTTGTGGATTTGACGTGGGGCGTGGGGGGGAGGGACACCACACGGCGCAGGACAGCGAACCGCGGGCTCCCAACCCAACGGGAGGCTGAGATGCTCGGCCTGCCCCTCCTCTGCCTTGCTCTGGGGCAAAGCCTCCCGCCCCACCCCACCCCAGCTCCAACCAAAGGAAAAATACCTAGCTTTCACAGGAAAGCTGTGTCTTGGTCTGGGAAAGATCCAGAAATCCAGCCATGGGAGCTGCGGGGACGGCCGGGCCCACAGGCTGGGCGGCGGCGGTGGATGCTGCCTTTCATGAATCCGCTCTCACGCTCCTTTTCCCACTTCCCCGCCCAACGTCTGCCCGTGGCCGGCTCCTCTGCCGGCTGGGGAGGTGCCCGTGGCCGGCTCCTCTGCCGGCTGGGGAGGTGCCCGTGGCCGGCTCCTCTGCCCGCTGGGGAGGTGACCGGGAGCTGTCGTGCTGCGCATCTGACGGCCAGTTTCGCAAGGCTGAAAATGCCTTGCTGTTTCAGAAGCCCGGGAATGGGGGGAGGGGGAGCTGGTGCCCCTCCCCAGGGCCCCCCATGGCGGGGGCTGATGTCACCGCATCCCAGAGCCACCCAACTTTCTCGGGGAAGATTCCCTGAAGCTCCTTCTACCCTCCGCCTGGCCTCTACCGGCCCTGCACCCAGGGACACGCCAGGGGTCCCCTTAGATCTCCATCCCAACCTGCTCCCTCTGCACCGCTGCCGGCGCGAATGGAAAATCCTGGTCACCCCCACGAGCGATGGTGAGGGCAAAGAAATCACCGTGGCGCTAGAAATGGCTAAACTCAAGCGAGGTGCAGGGCCCCGAGCCCGGCCGGCCTTCTTCCCATCCTGTCCCTGCTGTGCTACTTTTTCTTTTAACTGAGATGGAACTCACGCACCCCGATGTTGAGCCCACGCGGGATACATCCTTCAAATGGAACCCATCTGACATTCGATCTGACCCCACAGGCTGTCTGTCCGTCTGTGTGCCCACATGGGAGGAGGGCGGACACTTGGAAATGAAGGCATAGGACAGACTCCACACCACACACCTGCCCAGCTCAGGGCGGTAGCTCGGGACAGCGCCTCAGGGGCGCCGGCCGGCCCTGGGGGCCTCAGGACCAAAAAGGAGGGCGGGCAGAAGGGGGGGCCGTGAGGGGGGAATCAAGATCCTCAGCACCTCTAGGCTTCGCACACGCGGTTCCCCTTGCTGCCCTTCCCCTCCCCTGCCCTACCTGCGTGACCGGGCCGCACAGGTGCCTCCTGTAGGCCCTGAGTGCGAGGAGACCCTGCTGAAGCCCCCGGCCCGCGGCTGGGCCGTCCCTTCCCACTGGCGAGCCTTCGAGGCTCCAAGTCACGGGCTGAGAATGGTCATGACGCGGCAGGCATGCGGGCGCCGGGCACGCGGCCTCCCTCACCCATGGGAACGCAGACGCAGGCCCGCAGACCCCGTCCTCCTGGGCCACCACCCGCCTGCTGCGTCCTGGCTCCAGGATGGCGCTGGCCTATGAGGGTGTGGGGAGCCCCGCGGCCACGCCCACAGGGGCGGGTCCAGCGCTGCCCATCAGAGGCCCGCACCTGGACCCCAGGGGGGCTGGACTGTGCCAGGGCCCAGCCTCACCCCGCTGTGACTTGGAGATGGGGGGGGGATACCACAGCCCCACAGGGGACAGTGAGGAATGCAGGGGCCGCGCGCTTGTCCACGTAAAACCCAACACACAGAAGACACGCGCCGTGGACGTGGGCGCGAGCGTTCGGAGGAGCACCCCACCCCCGCTCCGGCCTGCTGTCCACAGCCGCAGCCCCGCCGCCCCGGCTGCTCCCATAGCCGTGCTTTCTGCCAGTCTCAAGGCCTGAACTCAGGGCCTCAGCGCCGTCGCTGCGCTTGTTTTCTGCTCAAGGCAAGCACTCTACCATGTCTGGCTTTTTGATAGTTAATGGGACATAGAGTTTCCCGGACTGTCCTGCCCGGGCTGGCTTTGAACTGCCATTCTCAGACCTCAGCCTCCTGAGTAGCCAAATGACAAGAGCAAGCCATGGACACCCGGATTCCAAAAGCATTTCTTTTGTAAGGATGATTTTTTGTTGTTGTTCAGTCGTGGAGCTTGAACTCTGGGCCTGGGCGCTGTCCCTCA